TTAAGCAGCATTTTGCCACTTTCATTTTCTCATATCAATAGTAGGTTGGTATTTTGAGTGACTATTTCCCCTCACTTAAAAAACAACTTACAAGTCAGTAACGGAAATGACCATTCATTTATCATGACTTGGTGACTTCTGTATGTAGTCTTTATTTTGTCTCTTAAAACCGATTATGTAATTAACGTTGTACATCTGGGTTGTATCCTAATCATTTATTGTTTATCATTATTATTTAAAGCTAATTGTGGTATAGTGTACATTCGGCGCCCCATACTATATAAACAACTTACCAATTAGACGGATCTATTTGACTGTAACACCCAGTTTCTGTTGTGACTCCGCAGCGTCAATCGTTTACGGCAGCGGCGGAGCAGAATTACCGTCGTTGACGGTGTCGGTCTGTGAGCTGAAACTTTGTAGTGTGTATGTTTTCTGGTTGCTATGGGTGGAGCTGAGAGAGTCGTCCTCATTATTTTCATCCACGCTTACGTCCGGGACCAGAGTTCCGCATTCCTGAGCTTCTCACTAGGTACTTAAACGAGCTGATGCAACGACCTCCGTTCAGCCCTCTAAACACGCCAGTCTCTACACTCTCGCCGACATATTACTGAATTATTACCTCTGCACGTTTTGGACGCACAACAGGTAAGCTCGCTCTCTAATGTCCGTGTCTGCGCTTACTATTCTGCCATTTTCTCCCACTAGGAGTTGGCTAATTGTTGGTACGCGCTTCGCATTTTGCACATTTTTCGTACTTTTTCTAAACCACGTTATAGGGATTCCACACTCTCGGTTTGCATTTTAAAGGCTTCCTGTGCGACATTTTTGTCTGGTAATAATAAAACATAAAGACGTGATTAATACCTTTTCCGTCATAGTGGGGAGATATTTTTATGGTTTAAAGTTTTCTTGCCGCAGTTCGCCGCTGCTAGCTAGTGCCGTTAGGACGCTGTTCTCGTCACAGCCTGCGTTAGGAAGTATTTTCATCTAATTAATTCCTCCTCTGTGTTTCTAACAGTCTGTTAGCCTGTTGGAGACAGTTATGTAATGTCGCACACTCCAGGTTTTAAAGGAGCTAACACCAGACACGGACGGGTTAAAAGGGAATGGGGCCCCTGGGCTCAGACTCGTTAAAGACCCCCACAATGTCCTGCAGAGACGAGGACCCTGCAAAAAAAAAAAAAAAAAAAAAAAAAAAAAAGCCACAAACAGCAAAGGTGCCCAGTCTTCCAAGTGCTTATTTATACTTTCCATATTTCTATTAATTTTGTGCATCTTTGTTCCTTTCTGGTGGTTTGTAGACATGTTTTTATTGACAATAAACAAGAACAATAGACTCAATGTCAAGTACTCATAGCTGGTTCAGGGGTTCTCCTTAACGCTTTAATGGTCACCCCAAACAAACAGCTATTCAAATTTTTTTTATAATTCTCTTATGTACTTTTATTATTCTTGGGCTGCAACGATTTTAATATAACATAAAGTAATAATAATAGTGTTATTAGGGTAATACTATTTTTATTTAAACACCCTTTTTCAACTAGGTGTAATGCAAGCACTTCCAAAGTACGGCTTGTGGGCTGTTTGCGGCCCTTGGGAGTGATTTGGTGCGGCCCTAACTGCATTTCTAGAATGATTAATTCAGCCTCTCCATGTTTCTGTTCAGAATTGTACTAATCCTCTAATTTCCCTCTGGGATTAATAAAGTATCTTTGAATTTAAATTTGAATTGCATCTGCCCATTTTCAACCCATATTTATAAGAACATATTAGAAGAATGATCCATAAATTAATGATTGTACTTTTTAAATTAAAGTTATTCTTTTGCCCTGTGGGGCTTTCTGTTTCATGATTTTAATGCTTACCTTGTAAAGTTTGGACACCCCTAGTTTAATGCGTGGTTCAGTGAAGTATAGTAGCTCACTGGGCTGCAGCATTTGGTGCAATAAAAGTAGTTTTATTATTGTTTTTATTCTTATTTACTGCAATGCTAATATTGGCTGTGGTACACTGATTTCTCCTGTTCCTCAGTTTTAGTGTTTGGCTGACTGAATGCTCATCACTTAAAAAAAGTCTAACACTATCCAAGCCGTTCCTTGTGTTACGGCATCCGTAACACTTGTGATATTGAAACTGCGCTGATTTAGTGATGACAGTTCATTTGCGATGTGGCTACCTGTTGGCCACAAATTATGAGTAGCATTTGGGATGGAGTTTCCAAAGTGTCTTGAAAACATTCAGAAGGGTTCCCGGTTTCCTCATGTGAGTTGCAGGGTCTTGCTTTTGTGTTACTGGAATTTTTGAACACAAACACTTTGCACAAGAGTTTTCCTCTGAAAGTTGTTGCAGAGTCATCGCAGGCATTTTGAACTTGGATTGTATGAGTCAGAACGTGCTAGAAAGATGAGACAACTTTGGGAGGAGCTGGAAAACATCTAAAAAGAAGTAAATTTAAATAAAATTAGACGTATTTTACCAGTTGTTTTAGAAATTTGGGGGCATTTTAACTTTATTTGAATTGTCTGCAAATTATAAAGAGTAACACATGTCCTAACTTCGTTTACAGCGTCCAAAAACGGTTCATCATTGATAAAAGACAACTGACGGGTTTCCTCTGAGTAAGTATTAGGTGTTTAAACACACACACACACACACACACACACACACACACACACACACACACACACACACACACACACACACACACACACACTTGTGTTTATGCATCATCCACCTTTAATAATTAGTCAGAAAGCAACTTCCTCTTATAGTTATCTGTGGAACCTTTTATCTATCTAGACATGTGTCTCTGCCCTCAGTGTCCTGAAGGTTAAAGGTCATTATGTGAAATATGATTTGTTGGAGTTGGATAGCTTTTTACAGAGGCTTATAGGTTCTTCTCGATGCATGCATGCCCTTCAGCTGGTTCAGCACATGTGCTGCAGGGGAAACTATTCCAGTGTCTTCCTTTGTGCAGCTATCCGTGTTTATGTGGGTCTAAATAACTGAGCGTGTGTTGAAGAGGCTTTAAATGCCCTAGCGCCTGCCTGGACACATCCGTAAGATGGTTTCCGCATAAATGAAACACTGCAGCGGATTAATGGGAAAGGGCTGGCGAGCCTACAAGCAGCGCGAGGCCAACAGGGCTCAGAGGCTGGACGTGGGCGCACAAGGTTTATTTTAAGTAGAAATGCCTTCCAGTGTGTCTCCGGAGAGCTAGAATTGCCGAGCTGCACTCCAGCACACTGAACAGTCTGAACAGACAGCAGACGCATTGCAGACGAGCGAGCCAAACTGTGCAATAGCTCAGTGGTACTAATGCTAATGCTGGGGGAGCAGCTATTCACTGCTGAGGGTATCACATTATCAGCATCGCATCGTAGTCCCATAAGCCATTCCACATGGTTTAGGAAAACAGGGTGTTATGGTCTAGATGTGGAAGTGTGGCAGCAAACAGATGTAATGTACCACAAGGTGTAACAGAGAGTTGAATGGCTGGTTTCTTCTCTGTTTTGACTACAAGCTCTCTTATTGACCCAAAAACTGACTTTTTGCTCCCAGAATCAGATCCACAAGACAGCTCCGGCGTCGGGCCAGTGCCCTCCCTGTTCAAGCGTCTGCTTGACGGAGCAGATGAGGAAACATCACAGGACAAAGTCTAAAAGAGTACCGAAGGGACAACCGCGTGTTGCGTAATAGCCGTGATTGCTTCAGCATGCAAGGTTAAATCAAATTTTCTGGATGTGCTTGGCCAATATCTCCCATAACTGGCCTCGGGTCTGTCGTTGAAGCAATCTCCACACAATGTGAAGGACTTCTGTCCACACTTTGTGTTTTGATTGATTTAATCTACGTCTGAGCCGAGCCAAAGCTCTCTGTCTGCCACGCAGCCTAATCTTGATTTACAGCGTGGACAAAAACTGTAACGGCATAATAACTCGACCACCCAGATGCACGGCCTGACGTGTGACTGGTCAGACGGCCCGAAGCGGGCCAAGAAGGCTTCCAGCCAGTAATCACCTTGTAAAGCACGAGGGAGGGAAAGCATTTCAACAGTGGTTGGCTTCCTGTGTGTGTTTGACTCTGAACCTCGTGTACATCTTGCTGCTGAGATGTGAAAATGCAGCTGTGTTCATCGTGACAGACAGCAGTTTCAAGTAAAACGTTAATAATGGTTATGAATCGCTTTGGGAAGCCCTTTTCACAAGAGAGCTGTTGGAGGAGGTTTCTGTCTGTGGCAGGAACATAAAGAAATGAAAGCTGAAATGAAATCTCGTGTCTAGATAATCACTTCCACTCCCACACAGTCGCTTTGTGATGGTGATAAAAGACACAAGCAGACCCTGACTGTCTTTTCCTGGTCTCATCGCTCCAATGAAAACAGAATGAGAGGCAGGAGTCTTGATACTGTATGTTTGGACCGTCCTGTCCTCAAGGAAAATGTGCCAAATTCCCTGGTTTCCCCAGAAGATTGTGAAATGCTGTAACTCAGCTCACACGCCTGGCTGAGCGCAGACGGTAATGATGATCGCCCAGACCTTGGCCAGAGATTCTGAGTGTGCCTTGGCTGCAGACTCCCTGCACATTTGCTCACATTCAGCATTTGTGTAAAATTATTTGGCACAAAGTCTGTGTGGACTGAGGATTTCCTCATTAATCTCAAATCAGACCCTTTTCCTTTTTCCAACACGATGGTGACAGAATCTTGGAAAGTGCATCTCTCCTTCCTATAATCCTCGATTCACAAAGATTTTAAGCAATTTGACAGCAGGAAAATAACCGTTACTGACGAAGATAACCTGTCACAATTGGTCGAGTGACGTGTAACAGAATGGATGCGTCTTTCCTGTCAGCTCAGCCATGTATCCCTTCCTAGTGGGAGCGTTAGAGATGCAACTCGGCAGCAAACGGGTTCCATGTAGCTAGATTACACGTGATTTCAGCCGTTCATCTGATGAAACGCAAGAGAAAGGCAGCAGCATGTATCCAGTTTATTTTCCGTTCCGTTTACCTCGGCTAGAGATCACATACTTTTTTTTCTTAGCAGTGGAGCTGGGCAATGAATCAATAATTTGTTGTAATGGAAATTTCTGACTTCAACCTGTATCGTTTTTCCCACGTCAGTAAATGTAATAATAAAAAAAGGAAAGTGTGTGTAGGTTGGCGATGTTCATGTCAAGTACCAGTCAAGTAATGAAAATCGAGCCGACTGACTAGTCGTTGATGACGTCATACACCCGAAGCGGCGCGGGGGGGGGGGGGGGGGGGGTCTGTTGGTTCGCTGGAGTTTTTGACAATTAAAATTGCGCCCACATTTTCAAAGTGAAACACATTTCTTTTAACAACGGTAGTTTCTGCATATTTACTGCTCCGCTTCAGCCCTCCCCCCCCCCCTCCCTCTGCTTCAGCCCTCCCCCTGCGCATCGGCTGCAAACTCACTGATGCGCCTGCAGCCTCTCGGAGTTCCTGCTGCTCTAAACATTAAAATAATTATTTCATTTTCTGTTCCTCACTTCTGATTACCTTCAATGGTGTCTGTTTGTTGCAACCAGCAGGTACAAAAACTAACTTGTTTTTATTTGACTATTTTTCTGTCCTGCCTGTTTATTATCTTCCTGCATCTCCTCTCAATCCTAAAGAAAAACTGCTACCTGGGTTCATATATATTCACCTCATGAGTTACCTTTGAACTGCAGTTCTAAAAGATCTACCGACCACAAAAACAGCGGAGTGCTCGCCGGCCACATCGGTTAGGTGCGTCACCGAGGACAAAACAGGTGATGCGCCCCGATCCACAGCAGCGAAATGCATCAGGCACAAATAAAAGAATAAAAGACAGAAAACATAAAAGGAAATGAGCCGACATGAACAATCGCATGTTAAATTAGTTTTTGAGGTGGCGACACCTGATTTGATAATGTTACTGTGGCCGTGCTCAGGACGCAGGTGTGTGGAGCGCGTCAACGATCAGAGCTTTGCATGCACAAGCTGGTTAAGGTTAGGATGGGGGTGAGGGGAAGGTTAAATTGCAAGAGGGTAAAGGTCACAATTTGGTTAAATGTCCGTTTTACCGCCGGTGTCAGTACCGACGCTCTGGCACAGCGCGTTGCCTCCCGACGCGCAGGAGCTCGTCACCTGCTGACAGCAGGCTGCTGTCTTTTCCGAGGACTGCATCTTTTCGGTCATTATCACGTGACAGCGACTAGTCGATGACAGGCATAAAAAGTCACTATAGAGCGGTGAAGTCGACTAGTCGACTAGTTCATACAACCCCTAGCGTGTTCCTAGCCACTTCTTTTTTGAGTAAATCTATTTGGTCATGTGACAAGCTCTGCTTCTGTGGGTTTGATAGTGGCACTTTTGCGCCCTCTGGTGGCAGAAGATATATTACACCCATGCACAGCAGAAGGGCGTTAAAACCAGTTAACTGTGTACATCACTAGTCACGGATGTTATTGTTGCTTATGTTGTCCGGTGGAAAGGCAGCATTTGCTCTCAACTTCCTTATTATGGAACATTTCATCTAAGTAGTCACAAAGTAATTTTGGGGGATCTTCTCAGTTTAGTTTACACAAGTTGGAAAGTGTGGAAAATGTCAGACAACTTTGGGAGGCGTTGGTGACTAAATAAAGACATAATTAAGGAACTTTGTGACTGCAGTGCAACAAGAAAATCTACAGTTTGTTTTTAAGATTTGGTCAGTAATAAAATCACCTCAGAGTCAGAAATACGTGGAAATGTGCATATTTTTGTGAAATCTTGAGTCTCAGACACCCTCAGAGAAGCAGTCGGAAGGTTGACGAGTACTCTTTAAAAGCAACAGTTTGTAAAAGTAATGAGTAGCCTCTGAAAACGCGTACTGCCACCCCTCCTCGCCCCATCAGAGTCTCTGTAGTAATGAGGATAACGGGGCCTCCAGCCTTGCCGCTGCCTATCGGTAAGAAGCCGAATTCCTCAGCTCTTGTAATTGCTCAGAGAAAAGGACATGTTTAGCTGAGCTGAAAACAGATAAATGATGTAAGCAAAAGAAGCCGGTGAACAGCACCATCTGCTCAGTTAACACACACCTCCGATTGGTTTCTGTTGGGTGGTTCTGTCAGTGCGTTTACATGCAGCCAGTAACCCTTTTAAAACCCGAATATTCACAATAACCCGGTTCCGCATGGCCATGTAAACACCGCCAAAAACCCGGATATGCTCATAACCGGGGTTTTAAAAACCCGGTTACTACACCTGGGGTAACCCTTTTCTAACCCGAATGTTTGGTCGTGTAAACGCATACCGGGATATCCCCATCAAAGCGTGTGTTCTGCGCATGCTCTGTTCGCAAGGAATCTTGGTCTTTTGAGTAGCGAGACATCTTGTATGCGCCAGAACACCGGAAGTAAACAGTTTAGCGCAGCTCTCTCTATATTTGCCATTTCTTGCTCACGTACTCTCCTTCGAATGAAGGCCAGTATGCACAGTCGCAGTAAGAGCTGCTGGTGGGTCAATACCAGCACTAAAGCGCAAACAAACGCGGTCGCTAGCTCTTCCGAACTGGGAAACATGTTGTTGTTTTCACGGATACCGGAACAAGAAGAACCGGGAATGACGCATATTGCATCTGGACGTAGTCCATACGTCCTGACGCTACCCCAACGTCCGCATTTAAATCGGGTTATGCAAGTTAGGGTTAACTCTTTCTATTTATGCTTGTAAACGGGTTATTCTGATCAACTCAGGAACCCGAATACCGACCTTAACCCGATCATAACCCGGATATTGGCTGCATGTACACGTACTCTGTATTTCCATAATGGTATTTCCGCTCCCCTCCCTTGGCCCGCTCTCGTCTTCCCTCCGTTAGCCCCGAGTGTTCGTGGTACCCACACTCCTGCTGAGTGTTTAGGCGTCTTTGTTTCAGGACTAAAACTCGTGGTCCTGGCTTTTCTGTTCGACTGCAAAAGCACCGCAACACTGTTGCGTCACCAGACTCCGACCACTAATCTTTGACCTCAGGCTTCTGCTGAGAAGAGGAAAAAAAGGGAAAAGTCAGAAATACCTTATTTTGAAAAGGTAAAATTCACTTTGACTCACGCTCTTGGGCATCATTACGCCCTGCAAGTCATGCTTCAACCCTTCTGCATGTCAGACCGAGGAGACTCCTCGAGTTTTTCAGGGTTTGTGACACAAGCAGGCTTTTGGGTTTTAGACGGACCTGTCTCACACCAACGCTGACCCGTCTCACACCAACGCTGACCCGTCTCACACCAACGCTGACCCGTCTCACACCAACGCTGACCCGTCTCACACCAACGCTGACCCGTCTCACACCAACGCTGACCCGTCTCACACCAACGCTGACCCGTCTCACACCAACGCTGACCCGTCTCACACCAACGCTGACCCGTCTCACACCAACGCTGACCCGTCTCACACCAACGCTGACCCGTCTCACACCAACGCTGACCCGTCTCACACCAACGCTGACCCGTCTCACACCAACGCTGACCTGTCTCACACCAACGCTGACCTGTCTCACACCAATGCTGACCCATCTGCGTTAAACACGTCTATGAATCATAACTGACTGGTGCTGGTGCCTTTTAGCTTGACTGCTGGCAGATTTACTTTTAGGTTTCAGTTTTGTTTTGTCTGGTGTAAAGTGTGTGTTTTACACACGGCGAGTTCGTGTAAAAGCTACATTTTACTGCCAGTGTGAACACGTTGTACCAAAGACTGGGGTTCTACCTGTCGAGCATCTTTCACGTACAGCGTGTTGCACAAGGGTGAGTCAAACAGGTGTCATTATTTTTCTGCACATTTACAGTTTTCTGTGAAACGAACCAACGCGGTTTAAGTTTGAGCTTGATTTGCATCTGTAAACGAGCTCTGAGATGTCTAGCCAGCTCAGATATTTGACTCCCTTTCGGCTCAGACGGCGGTTTGCTTCGTCGGGCCTAATGGGCGTTTCGGTTGCTTCTGGCTGTTCTCTCACAGCAAGATGTGAGTTGAAATTGCATCTTTTTATTGATCTGGTTTTGGAAATGGGGAAACACAATAAGACTTGCTACGTTTTGCCTCATTTTTGACAGATTTGTTCACATATATGGAGATCTGTCACAACCAGTCATCTCTCTTGTATCTCTTTATCTTGCAAAAACAACGGCCTTCAGCCAAGCCGTGTTAATGGGAGTATACAGCTAGTGGGACAAGAGGGAGGGAGCCATAAACTGGTGTTTTTCTTTCTAGGAGTGATGCAGATGCTTGTGGTCAACTTTCAAGTCTCACTTTAGCTTCCTGTCTCATTCCTGCTGCTGGTTAAGCCGATGTGGATGCATTATGTTACGTATGTCTCACAGTCTGAAAGTTTTCCGCTAAGAAGCCTCCTCGTTGATTCACTTATTGGTGCACAGCAGCAGACGCTGTAAGAACACTCTGAGACAGACCCAAACGCGGGGTGGAGCACATCAGAATAGTTACATAACCTCCTTATAGGTTTTGTAACCTGGTGCACTAAAAACAGCAAAGAAAGAAAAACTTGAAAGGTTCAGAACTGTCAGCATGTCTGATAGTAACCCACCAGCGGTGTGGGCTGTTTCTGCAGCGCGGCACAAAACGCGTCTTTGTTGGTTCCATATGAGAGGGCCTTTGTTTGGTTTGGGCCCAACCTGCAGCCACTCAGCTGCAGCTGTAAGCTCCGGAGGCAAACGTGAATAAAGCTATTAACGTCAAGCTGATACCATATGTGCTGCTGAAAGCTGACGAGTTCAGGTGTGTTCATGAAAACTGGTTTAATGTTTCAGCCGTGTTTACGTCTTCTAAATGAATACGACGCATCACTGGTCGTAATCTTCTGAACAGAACCAGTCCACTTTCTCTAACATTTGGTTTTTATTCCAATTCCTAGACTCAAAATGATTACCTCTGCAGAACCGTTCCTTTGGTGCTCCTCGTGTCTCCCTGGTTGCGTGCAGTCAGACCCTCCAAACTGCCCTTAATGACTAAAAGAGGGCGGTTATTGAATCCTCGAGGGTTCGCTGCTCTTTGATGCTTTTTGAATTCCAGACATTCACAAACTCAGATGAACACCGGAGTCCATAACCAATAAAGCCATTTGAAGGCTGTCCGAAGCTTCCCTTTGCATGTGAATCTACGGGGATGAATGTGTCGCTGAGACGGTGTTGGGCTTGTGTTTCACCCGCTGCTGACTCAGACCATAACACAGCTGTCCCGTTTTTTAGGCCCTTCTTGGAAACGGCAACCCGTTTTTAGTGAGATGTTTGACGAGAACAGATGACAGAAAAGGGTTTCTCAGTGTCTGATGGATTAGAGTGCGTTCTTCCTCTTTCATGGATGAAGTTGGGGATTTAAACACGTAGCTTTAAGTCTGCTGGTCACAGATGGCATATTCACGTTACCAAACACAAAAATAAACATCTAGAAAGAGCAAAAGCCTCCTTTGATATGGTTACAAACACAAAACCACATTTCCACTGTGTAACCATTAAAGCTGCAGTAAAATTTCCTTTGAGATCTCATTCCCTCTTTTCCTTTGTTCCTTCTCACCACAGCGGCGGCAGAGGTCGGGCTGGTCATGATGCCGGGACAGATACCGGACACTTTGCTAGCGGCGGGCTCACTACCCAGCCTGGGCCCACTGGCGGGCATTTCAGCCACGACGCTCACCGATCAGTTGAAGCTGGCGGACTTCCACCAGTTCAGTACCGTAATATCCCCGCTGCACTTCCTGGGACGGCTAGGGAAGAGGCCGCTGGCCATCAAAACGGAGGTAAGGAAGGAAAACGATGCAGAGGGGCGGGGAGCACTTGGTGTGTGTTTTTCTGGTAAAGCCGGTGTGTTGTTGCAGATGGATGAAGATGAAGAAAGAAGGAAACGAAGACGGGAGAAAAACAAAGTCGCAGCAGCAAGATGCCGAAACAAAAAGAAGGAACGTACCGACTTCCTCCAAAGGGTGCGTTCATGACTCAGCACCACATACTAACTAACAGCAGAATGCCTAGAGCAGCCAAAACTAACCTCACTTTGTTCATCCCCAACATTCTGCTTTACATCAAACCCAAACTCAAGTGAAGTTCTCTGTTTTCTTCAGGAGTCCGAGCGTCTGGAAATGGTGAACTCTGAGCTGAAGGCCCAGATCGAGGAACTCCGTCTGGAGCGGCAGCAGCTGATGGTGATGCTCAACCTCCACCGGCCCACCTGCATAGTGCGGACCGACAGCATCAAAACACCAGAGAGTGAGGCCAACCCGCTGTTGGAGCAGCTGTCCACCGAAGCCAAGTGAAAACCAGGAAACTTTGGACTTAAAAGTCCCCGGAGCCTGAACTAGAACATTTATGGATGCCATTTAACGACTACATAACGGGCAGTGCCGTTCGGAACAAGCACTTTTGCCCAAAGACCAGAGGCTGTGGTGCTTCTCATCGCTACAAGAGCTGGCTCTGTTCAGTGGAAGACCGGAAACAGCCGGTCGAGTGTTGTTGAAAGCCGCTGTGCCTGCCTAGTTGTTACTTCAGCCATCTCTACGGGAAGGGACCAGCGGAGGTTCAGCAGGAGGAAACATGCCTACAGCATCCTGGTGCTCTGTTACCAAAGTCCTGAGGTGATGTCTTAGGGATGCGTCGATGCAGAGGCTAAAAAGAGACTCGGGTGTTCTGAAGTTTTTTGTATGCTAGTATAAATCCAGGTGTGGAGTTTTTAGGTTACAATACTCGATACAAGTCCACCAGGTGGAATCGAGCTCCTGCCTCGACCCAAGCAGTTACTGGTTGATCCCATTAGTGGTGACGCTGGCGTCATCAAAAGCACATAATCACAAAACGTTTACACCCTTGTTTTTGTTTATACTACTTGTTTATTTTTCATTATTGTGCTTGTTTTATACCGCTTAATACATAAACGGATGAAATGCTTGTTAATCACTTGATGTGATCGGTCTTTTGGCAGTATTTGAGTCTGTCCTGCACCCGTGTTTATGTATGAACTCGCATATCCTGAACAGATTAAATTTTATTTTCTATCTAAAAGGTTAAGAAGAAGTCTTTTGCATTTTCTGTCACGGTACCAGAAATATTAAATGACAGAAATTGTGCAATCCTGTTTTCTTCCACAAAGACATGTTGCCAGAATCAGGGCATTACTTTCATTTGCACAACTCTTAAAGGGTCAGATGTGCTTTTATTTCCTCTCCCTCTTGATTACGGCAGCTTCCCCTTTTTAGAACTCGTCAGTTCTCATCAGGCTTTTGAGATGTCCTTTTTTATGTCTTTCTTTAAATTTTTAAAAAACATATCAAACGATCACATTTTTCTTAACTTGAAGATGATGCAGCCCATCCCTCTGCATCGTCCTAACGATGCTCCGTGCATTTGTCCTGATGAGACCGCGTGCACGTTTCTGTTGGTGAATCCTTTCTGCAACACATAAATCCTTAAACAAAAACGTCCTGACAGTGCAAACAGAAAAACAATAAAGCCGTACTGAGCTGTTCAAAAGCAGAAGTTAAATAAGGCAAGGATGAGAAAATACTTTTGCTTTCAACTCAACAAGAATCATCAGTGTCCTAAAGCTCGTGGGAGAAGAAATACAAAGATTTAAAGTGAAAATACATTAGTTAACATTACATTTTTTGCTTTACTAACACGGTTTTGGTCTTCAGGAGCTTCTGAAGAAGTTCAGGACATGCTGAACAGGTGAGTTGGAGCAGAGCAGTAGCCTGCATTTACAGTCAATCTGCTATCTGTCCAGCAGAGGGAGCCAGAGCTCGTCACGGCTTTTAGCCACGTTGACTTAAATGACATCATTTAGTTTCCAGCCTCATGCCAGACTGCCAGGTCACAAATGTAAACCAGATTGATGGTTATCTCACGAGAGATCTGTCTCTGAAATCCTTCAATTTAAAATAAGAGGTTTGTTTTTTATGAGTTTCATTAAGTAAACCCCAAAAATCAAGCCTAAACATGATTGATTTCAACACAAAACACATTCTTCACTTAAACAGGATCAAACGTATCATGAAAAGTAAAAAGTAAGTTTGGTAGTAAATTCCAGATCTAACTTTAAACCTAAATGGACGTCATCCACACATGTGACTTTGATGTTAATACAATTCCTGTTTAGATGCCGAGTTTCCGCTGGCATTATCATGTCAGTGTTTTTACTCGCAAACATTTTCCCCTTCACAACTCTTCACTTTGAAACAAATGTATTAATTAAAACAGGGCTGTAAACTCACTGGCATTTGACTGAGAGAGAAGGAATTGACGCCTTCCAGTGGCGAAGAGCTAGAACTAAACTCTGGTTCTGTTGACTACTCAAGAGAATGTTTTACCCTCCTTATCTCAACGAAGCTGGGGGAAAAACCCTGTTTTGTCCTCTGGTGAATATCAGTATTAAGAAGAAGGACTGCTCTGTGTCTACCACACCACGCCCATCGGGTCGTGGTGGAGGTCTTGCTGTAGTCTTTAAGGACAAACATGTCTGTAATCTGGTAAAAATGGCCCTTTTACTAGCCTGGCAAGCCAGACTAAATAAATGTATTATTTGCAGAATTTCTATCATCAGTGATCAAAACTAGAAAAAGTTTTTTTTCTTGGTGACTTTAACGTACACATTAATGATCCTACTTGTAGTACAGCAGTGGAGTTCATGTCTAGTACAGAGTCTTTTGACTTGGAACAGCACTTTTCAGGCCCCATACACAAAATGGGCCACACTCTAGATTTTGTTTTATCCTTGGGACTAAAAATCAATCATTTACTTTGAAGAGGTTTTTGTGAGTGACCACAGCTGCATTTTCTTTAATGTCCAATCTAATGTTGAATCTGTCCTCACAACCTGAAATCAAAGAGACGTATCATTAATCGGTCAGCAGTGGATGGATTTTCTAGATCATTTGACAGCAGTTCAGTTCAGGGTGATGATCCGAGCTGTTTATCCAATCTTTGAACAAGCAGTGCTGTAGCATCTACCTGTTTGACACCATAAACCAGATTGTTTCACCTCACGCCCCTCTTATGCCAGTGTACTCAAGGTCTGACTTTAACAACTTCCCAGCATTCTTTGAGAATCTAAAATCTGCTTCCTACCAACCACCTTCCTCCCAGTCATGGTCTGTCTTTACTCCTCGAGATTTCCAGGACATTTGCCTCATTCAGAAACACATGAAACCAACCTCATGCCCTGCTGATTTCATTCCTACTATCTTGTTTGTCAGGATGTTTGACCAAATGGGCCCATGCATTGTAGATTTAATTCATTTATCCCTACAATCTGGCTCTGGACCATCTGTTTTCAAACATGCAGTTGCTGAACCCTTCCAAGTTTGGACTCATCCCAGCCTAAAAATGACAGACCCATTTCTAAATGACCCTTTATCTCTAAAATATTGGAAAAGGTTGTGGCAGATCAGCTGATTACTTTTCTGGAACTACACAACAGTTTTGACAAATTCTAATCTGGTTTTCGTAAAAAGTGTTCAACAGACACAGCTTTGCATAACGTTTCCACTGAAATCATGATGGCTGCAGACAACGGGGAATTCACAGTGTTAGTATTGTTAGATCTTTCTGCAGCTTTCGGCACCGTTGATCACAGCTGCCTTAATGAACAGACTTCATGACTCGGTGGGGATCTCTGGAACTGTTCTAGACTGGTTTAGATCGTACCTTTCTAACAGAAGTTACAGTGTCGGTAGAAACCAAATCATGTCAGATTCTACCAATCTATTTTTGTGAGGTACCACAAGGCTCTGTTTTGGGTCCACTGTTGTTTCTGCTGTACATGCACCCTCTTGGGCAGATAATTGATTATTTTCATAATGCCTCATCACCTATATGCAGATTACATTCAGCTGTGCTGTTTCTTTAAGGATTCTGAGTTCTATAAACTGTCTGAACTGCTAGATTGTCTATCAGCCATCACCAGCTGGCTAGAAGATGATATCCTCCAGTTAAGCTGTGAAAAGATCGAATGTCTGATCATTGCCCTTGAGAGCACGGTTCCTCTGATTAGTCAAAGTCTTGGTCATTTATCCTCTGCCGTCAAGACAAATTTAAGGAATTTGGGTGTTGTTTTTGACCAATCAATGTCTCTTGAAAGTCACTCCAAAAAATCTGAAACCGATTTTATCACTTAAGAAATATCTCCAAACTGCGAAGGTTGGTGTCAAAACACAAACGTGAAATGGTTCTCCATGCCTTTATCTCCTCCCGTCTAGATTACTGTAACACACTTTTCACATGTTTTAACAAAAAAGCCCTTGACCGCCTTCAGTTGGTCCAGAACTCTGCAGCGAGGCTCCTAACTGGAGCAAACAGAAGAGCACACATCACTCCTATTCTGATATATCTGCACTGGTTACCCGTTAACTTTAGAGTTCATTCTAGAGTCCTGACTAGAACTTTCAGGGCTCTACATGGTCAAGCTCCTCCCCATATTACTGAACTGTTAAAGCCTTATGCTCCAACCCGAGCCCTCAGGTCCACACACCAGAACCTTCTAGAAGTTCCAAAGACCAGATACAAAAGTCGAGCTGATCGCTCCTTCCAGACTGTTGCACCCCAACTTTGGAATGATCTTCCTTTATCCTGTAATGTCCACAAATGGTCAGTTTTCACCTACAGATTGACCTACAGGTCATCGGTCATCTACAGACCTAATTCCATCCTATGAGGTGGATTTTATATTCTACCTGCCAACAAATCACAAGATCTTGCACTGCTTGTTGACATCTCCGAATCATAACATTAACATCATGTTCCTTCCAAGGTCCCTCACAGAGCACCCTTTTATCGAAGACTCCTTGCTTCACAGAAGAAAGAAGATTTAAAATGAAATATGAACTTCTAAAACTAATAAGCTAGATTATCATTAAATAAATGTTTGTTTATTGCTACTTATAATAATTGTAGTATAATGAAATGTTTTCATTAATCTGTGCTTGATGATTGAAGTTGAAATGAATATTGTGATTATGGTTACACTGATTGATATGTTTTAGCAATTAAAATGATGGTCTTACCCAGAATAAATTACTTATTCTCGATGATCCCAAACAAGCCACCAGCTGACTGGTTTAGATCTCTGGACTCCTCAATTACTAAATTCCTTTGGCAGGATAAACCTCCACGAATTAGCTTAAAAACGCTTCAGAAGACCAAAGATAGAGGAGGACTGGATCTACCCAACATTTATTATTATTTCTTAGCCAACAGGCTGCAATATATACCAAGATGGCTGCAAGATAACCCACTAGATGAGTCCTGATTAGATATAGAACAGACACTTTGCAATACGATAGAGCTTTCAGACTTACCATTTATTAGCTCAAGCATAAGAAAACATGAAAGCTTCAAAAGTATTAGTATCAGCACCTCTCTGACAGCATGGTGGGAGTATCTTAAAATGACAGAGTCTTCTCTAGTACCATGCAGACGCACACCTATCTGGAATAATCCTGACATTTTGCAAAACAACAAAATGATGAACCTTCCGGACTGGAAAAATAAAGGAATCCTATACCTGGAACACATATATGAAGGATTGGACTTCATCCCATTTAATAGAATAGTCTCCCAATTTGGAATGGATAAGAATAGCTTTTTAGAATATCACCAAATTAAATCTGTAGTCAAACAAAAAATTTAAGCTCAATAAAATAGAATTACAAACACCACCAAGGGTATTAGACTTTTATAATCTCAAACCCCCCAAACTACTGTCTAAAGTATATAAGACACTGTCCAAAATAGACGATAGAATAGCAATCCCTATTGAAAAATGGGAGGTGGATCTATCAGTCAGCTTTGACCTGAACTTCTGGTCCCAAACTTGTTTAAAAACTTTTAAAATGATCAGACACCCCAATTTACAATTAATTCAGTACAAAATTCTACACAGAGTACACTATACAGGTCATCGGATGTTCAGGATGGGGTTTGTGTCGTTTGACACCTGTACACACTGCACAAACAACATTCCTGACAATTACATTCATGCACTGTGGTCCTGCCCACCTGTCCAGGAATTTTGGGGCAGAGTATGTGAGGATCTGTCAAAATGTCTGAAATGTCATATCCCAACTTCCCCCTCTCTTTGTTTACTGGGAAACCTGGATGATGTCCTGATTCAAACATCTTTGGTTCACGTGGTTCTGCATCGCTAAGAAAACTATCCTCTTGATATGGAAAAATAGAGAAACTCTCTGCATTAACTAGTATAGAAATCTTTTGTAAGATCGTATTACACTTGATTTAGCCTCTGCTTCCACTTCATATCAATCTCTCTGGGCTCCTTTGATCAGTTCCATCACATAACGATGATGGGGGGCCATTTATATTGTCCTGCGGGATGATGTGGGTGAGGGGGTGGAGGGTCTGTGTTTGGAGTATCCAGACGTTTACTGGAGGTGGGTTCCCTGGGGGTGTCTGGGACTGGGGGGCTGCTGCCCCCCTCTGGAGGTGCTTGGGTTGCCTCGGGGGGTGGACTACTGGTG